GAAGCAAACAAACGAAAGGAGGTGATTCGGTAAAAAAAAAAAATGAATTGTTTTTTGAGGATTACTTAAAACAACAATTCATTTCAATTCGAATCGACTAATCCGGTATATTTTCCACATTGATAGGAGTACGTTTATGTTTCTACTTTATGAATATGATATTTTCTGGGTATTTCTAATAATATCAAGTGTTATTCTGATTTTGTCATTTCTTATTTCTGGAGTTTTAGCCCCTCTTAGCAAAGAGCGAGAGAAACTTTTGAGTTATGAATCGGGAATAGAACCAATGGGCGATGCTTGGGTACAATTTCAAATCCGTTATTATATATTTTCTAAAGTTTTTGTTACGAATAGTGGACAAATTGATGTATTACAAATCTTAATTGTATTTACATTTCATTTTAATATTGATATATATTTCTAGAAATATTATTTACTTTCTTTAATATATTTATATATATTTATGTTTAGTATTTTCTAAAAATTATATATTCTATTTAATAAATGAAAAGAATGAAATTATTTCATTTTTAAATTTTAACATTTTCAAGTTATAAAATTTATTTATACGGTACTTGTTTTTTTTTATACTTGGTCTTGAAGTAGAAAACGTTCCATCTGTTCCTGAATAGCTTCTTTCAAAAGGGCTTCCGCTTCAGGGGTAAATGTCTTGGTGGAAGATATTATTTCTTGAAACTGAGGTTTATTCGTTTTTACGTAAGTACGTAACTCAACGAGAAATTTTCTTACTTGTTCAATTTCTAATGAATCAAGATAACCATTCGTTCCGGTATAAATAGTCATTATCTTTTCTTCTACCGTGAGAGGGGTTGATTGGGATTGTTTCACGTAATCGTTGACCTCTTGCCAATTGATTTTGAGTAGCTTTATCGAGATCAGAAACGAATTGCGCAAAGGCTTCTAATTCGACAAATTGAGCCAATTCCAATTTTGATTTTCCGGCTATTTGTTTTATGGCTTTAATTTGAGCTGCAGATCCTACTCTGGAGACGGAAATACCCACATTAATAGTAGGTCTGATTCCAGCATTGAATAGATCCGCAGATAAGAATATTTGTCCATTAGTAATGGAAATTACATTAGTAGGAATATAAGCTGAAACATCTCCCGATTGGGTCTCAACTATTGGTAAAACAGTCATACTTCCTTCACCTAAAGCAGAACTTGATTTAGCGGCTCTTTCCAAAAGGCGTGAATTCAAATAAAAAACATCTCCCGGATAAGCTTCGCGGCCGAGCGGTCTTCGTAAAAGAAGAGACATTTGTCGATAAGCTTGTGCTTGTTTGGAGGGATCATCATAAATGATTAAAGTGTGTTGTTTTCTGTACATAAAATATTCAGCCAAAGCTGCTCGTGTATAAGGAGCAAGGTATTGTAATGTAGCTGTAGTAACTACTTAGCCACAGAAGAGGCTTTTTGACCAATAGCTACATAAACACATATTACATTTTGCCCTTGTTGATTCAGAATCATATCCGTGGCTACTGCAGTTTTACGGGTCTGCCTGTCCCCAATAATTAATTCTTGCTGACCACGATCGATGGGAATCATTGCATCAATAGCAATAAGTCCTGTTTGAAGAGGCTAATATACGGAACGTCTCGAAATAATACTAGGAGCGGGGGATTCAATTAACCGAGAGTCAGAAGCTGAAATTTCACCTCGGCCATCAATAGGTTTAGCCAAGGCATTTATAACACGACCTAAATAAGCCTCGCTTACTGGTATGTGAGCAATTCTTCCCGTTGCTTTTACACAACTTCCCTCTGAGTACAAGAGAAAAGTGCTTAAAATAGTTTCAAAATAAAGAAAAAAAAAATAATAGGGATTGGTCAAAGTCAACATTTGTTTTCTCGTTAGCATGGTACCATCAAAACTTGTTTATTTCTTTGAAATGTTTGAGTTTACAATTTACACGTTTTCATCTAGAAATGAAGCAAAATTAGTCTGGTTGTCAAATGTTGTCACGCTTAAAACTACCATAAAGGTATAATCGACCTATTATCCTTCCACCAATAGGAGCAAAAGGCAACGTTACTCAGTGAAACTATTTTCATGTCATTTATTCAACAATAAGGGTGTTAGCATGCATTTGGAAATGAACTCATATTTAAAAAATTTAGATAAAATAGAAAAGAACTGTTATCTCAGAGATAATGATACAATGTGAAACTAGCTTTCAGATGCTTCCTTAACTCTTAGGGGCGGTAAACCAACGTTTCCTTCACCCAAGACTTATGGCCCAACTCCCAACATGGAAGGGATAATCTAGAGAATCATTCCAAGAACCCTAACGGATGGGTTACAAACTCACATTATCAAGCTCGACAACAAACAATGTCGCCGGCAAACTTATGAAGACTACATGGAATTATGAATATGTTAATGTAGGATTTTTTTAATTTACCGATTTTTAAAATGTTAAATTATGTAAAATTAGTGACAAATAAGAATATTTTAGAGAGCTTTTCCTTTTTATTTAAGATTTTGATATTTAAGAAAAGAGAAAATGAATAAAAATACGAGACATTTTATAGATTTAGGAGTGAAATAAGGGTATTTAAAAACCTAAAAAACAAGGAGATGAAATATTAATGATATTAATGGGTCATAGGTTGAAGAAGAGGAGTGAGTGAAAATAAAAAGGGAGATGATTTATGCACTTCACTAATAGTTAGAACCTTATTTTAGAATGTTAAGGGCATTAGTTTTGAAAGTTCATGAATATTTTTTGTACTAGTGGCTTTGTCAATATAAGAATGCAACTTATATTTTGTCCGAGAATAGTGGCCCATGATTTATGCAACTCACTAATAGTTAGAACCTTATTTTAGAATGTTAAGGGCATTAGTTTTGAAAGTTCATGAATATTTTTTGTACTAGTGGCTTTGTCAATATAAGAATGCAACTTATATTTTGTCCGAGAATAGTGGCCCATGATTTATGCAACTCACTAATAGTTAGAACCTTATTTTAGAATGTTAAGGGCATTAGTTTTGAAAGTTCATGAATATTTTTTGTACTAGTGGCTTTGTCAATATAAGAATGCAACTTATATTTTGTCCGAGAATAGTGGCCCTTAGGTTCTAAATGGTGGAGGACTTTGGAATAAGGTTTGGAATCGGTAATTATTCTTATTTCACTAGCCTAATTGTAAGTTTTTAGCCATGTTCATAGTGGGTGCTTGTATACCACACTCTTTTCTTAATGATAGCTTGGTTCTTGTCCAAGGCCCTTAGGTTCTATGTGGTGGACTTTGGAATAAGGTTTGGAATCGATAATTATTCTTATTTCTTTTCCTTTAGACACTCGGTGGTTGGGAGTAAATCGAACAAAGTGTCTGTCCAAAATAAAAGGAGCAAATCGAACAAAGTGTCTATCCAAGATAAAAGGGCCCAACCAAATTCAAACTCGTGACCTCTTAATCTGCAATCAAATACTCTACCACTGAGCTATGAACCCCTTCTACCAAGTGTCAGTCCAAAAGTGTAAAAAGTGTCTGTCAAAAATAGAAATGCCCAACCAAGTTCAAATGGGTGACCGGTTAAATTCTCTACCTTTGAGCCATGGATCCATTTTGTAGGATTTTAACCTGAGTGACCCCTTAGACATAGTGTCGGTCCAAAAAGTGTAACAAATTTCTATCCAAAATAGTAGGGCCCAACTAGGTTCTAATTGGTGACCTCTTGATCTGCAATCAAATGCTCTAATATTGAGCTATGGACCCATTTTGTATGATCTTAACATTAGTGACCCCTTATTTAGATTATCGGTCCAAAAGTGACCCTACCGAATTGGCTATGGACCAATTTTGTATAAATTGGTGGATTACCTATCAGAAATTAAACACAGATCGTTAGATGCAAAGTCGAAAGTGCTAACCACTACACCATAGAACCACTTGTTAAACTTTATTTGGCAGCGATTTTGATAAGCGCCAATAACGCTAGATTTTGCAAAGCTAGAGGTCGTAGTATCCTTGCAAACTTTTACAAAGAAAGCTAACTTAACGAATTGATTTCAACCAGGAGCAGGTAAAAAGGATAAATAACTCTTAGATTGAACTTGGAATCTATGATTGTCACTCTTAGATTCCAAGACGACTCACTCAAGAATTAACTTGATCACGACTAATCTAATGAATAGATTTTAACACCAAACCTAAAACAAGGTTTGAAAGAAACATAACACCAAATGGTTTCAAACACAAAGTTTTTGTATTCCAAAATGTTTTCAAACTTGAATATTACCAGCATTTAAATAGGCCAAAAAGATAATTCAAACATAGCTCATCTACAAACTACCCAAAGCTATTAAATACAAATTGAAGAAAATAAGAAATAACATAAATAATTTTAAATGTAATTCAACTCCAGAAGATAAAATGTCTTCAAATTACATTCCAATGTCAAGTGATATTTTATTACCACTCAATTCTTTTCTTGATTTATTGTAGTTGAACTTAAAAGTATGACAAATAAGCTGGATTTATTTTAAATTTCCTTTAAAATTTTTGTGCACAAAATACAATGGAAATAATATATATATATATTTTTTACTTTTTTTGTAATTTGTATGGTATTATTAGAGGCTTTTGAATGAAATATGATAATTGATTCCCTGTCCTCTTTGACAATTTTAGATACCTCGAATATTTGATGCGTCACGTTTCACTGTGAGATCTGCCCTTGGGTCAATAAGACTTAAGCAGAGAATTTATTTGACTAATGATTTGATTTTTTTGGGTTGTAGAGATATCTTTTACAAATCAAAACTTTGTATTATTTTCAAGACACTCATTAAGACAT